GCTAAAAGCCCTGTCTATAAACTCTGCTATAATTATGGGCTTTTTCTTATTATAATATTTAGGATTTTTCTTACTAATGTACTTAATCTGCTCATTATGTATTCCTACCACTAAATATTAACCTCTTTTATGGTAGAGACATTGTCTTGTAAACTCTTATTTCCCTAGTATTTGGAGATTTAAAAAATGATTAAACTATCCAAAAATTAGATCTCTCTTTTCTACATTATGAGTATTACACTATCCATAGAGAAGTTTGTTTGAGACCTAAACTGAGAAACCTTTGGATCTAAAATGACTATGTGATATCTTAGTATTTATAGGTCATGAGCTTCCTTCCTCTGCCTCTATACGGTTGTTCCTTCAATCTCCCTTGCTGTAGTTTGATTAGTCAATGAGTATGTGTCATGCATTTATTCACATCAGAATTTCATACACTAATAAGACATAGTATCAGAAATCAGTTTATTAGTTATATCAGTTAGGGTCCATCAAGGAAAGCACAAACCACTATCAGTTACTCAACCTAGAATTAAATACAGCTCTTAATAGTTAATTATCGTTGTATTAGAAGACCTAAAATATGAAACAAAGGACAGTACAGAAATCTAGATGTTCGTAACATCAGAAAACTTTTTCCGCCATTAGGCCTAAAAGGACAGAAGGAGAAAATGTTTATACCACCATCCAGAACCAGGGGTCTACTGGATTCAATGAGATATTGGGGGCTCCTTGGAGAGAGCCAGAACTGTCTAATGGGGGCATCAAAATATCAACCATAAAAAAGACTGTCTGCTGTAGGAGATCCCTTCAGAGAGAGAGAGCGAGAGGAGAGACAGAAGGCCAGAAATAATCTTGCTTATACTTTCCCTCAGCTAGTGTTTACCATTGCAGAATGTACATGGGACCAAAAGGGTGAGTAAACCTGGGAAATGTCATTTCCTCAAATACAGAGAACACTCAGGGAAGGATGAGGAATAAATTTGAAAGCAGTGTGGTAATTGACAGAAGGAAATTAGGATGTGTCCAGTAAATGAACAATTATAGTGTGTAATGATTATTGCAATGATTAATGTATTGATAAGATAATATGAAAACACAGAATTCAAAGAGCAGTGAACTGAGATTAGAACTGTGGAGAGCACTGGCATTTAAGAATGCCACTTACACTTATAATGTGTCTCCTATGCATTGTTCTGTGCATATGAATATATCATATCAATATTCATTATCTGAACATTATAAATTTGGTACAAAGCGCAAATAATTTATTTTTTCAGGTTAGCAAGAATGTATTATTATTATTATTATCATCATCATTATTTGAGACGGAGTTTTGCTCTGGTTGTCCAGGCTGGAGTGCAATGGCACGATCTAGGCTCACTGTAACATCTACCTACCAGGTTCAAGTGATTCTCCTGCCTCAGCCTCCCAAGTAGCTGGGATTACAGGCGCCTGCCACCATGCCCAGCTAAGTTTGTATTTTTAGTAGAGAGGGGGTTCCATGTTGGTCAGGCTGATCTCGAACTCCTGACATCAGGTGATCCACCCACCTTGGCCTCCGAAAGTGCTGGGATTACAGGTGTGAGCCACCATGCCCAGCCAAGAATGTGAATTTTGTAGAAGGATGTAACCCATATTTCTCTGACCCTAGAGTCCTTAGTGTGTCTCCCATACCATGTGGCTCATCCCCCTTGCATACATTTCCCATCTTTCACCCTATCTTTTCCGTTTCGTTTCAGCTTTTCACTGTGTGTCAAAATCTAGACCCTTATCTCCTATTTACTCTGAAACCAGCAGCAAGTTGAATTCCATTCTAACCAACGTTGACATTATACTAATTAAAATCCATACTGAGTTCTAAAATCATTGGGGATTTTGGGGACTATGTCTTACTTCGTACTTCCTTGAGATTTCACATTAAGTGTTGGTGTTCATTAAAGGTCCTTCATTTAATTTTGTATTCGTCGCACTCTTGGATTCACAGTTATATCCAAACTCTTAAATATAGCTTGTATAGTCCCAGTTCCCAAGTCTGATTTCTAGCTCTGTCCTCTGACCTCGGTGCCAAACCCATATATCAAACTATGTACTGGGCTTATTTGTATAGATGTCCTATAGGCACCTCAGACTCAGCATGGTCGTTTCACTTTTTATACTAAAACTGTTTCTCTTCCAGTGTTTTCCATTTTAGTCATTGGATAGCTACTTGCCCACTCACCAAGCTCAGAGACTTAAAATCATTTCCTTACCTCTAATCAACAGCTCAATTCTGCCTGAATTTGTCCCTGTCTATTAATCACTGCTCTTACTGCCCACAGTCAGGTCCTCATTGTTTCCTGGACAAGAGTAGATGCTATTCTTTCCATGTTAAGACCTTATCCTGGCTGGATGTGGTGGCTTAGGCTTGTAAATCCAGCACTTTGGGAGGCCAAGGTAGGCAGATCACTTAAGGTCAGGAGTTCGAGACCAGCCTGACCAACATGGTGAAACCCCATCTCTACTAAAAATACAAAATTAGCTGGGCATGTGGTGCATGCCTGCAATCCCAGCTACTCCAGTGGCTGATGCAGAAGAATTGCTTGAACCCAAGAGGTGGAGGCTGCAGTGAGCCTAGATCGCGCCATTACACTCCAGCTTGGGCACTAGGGGTGAAACTCCATCTCAGACGAGAAAAGAAAAAAAGACCTTATCCTGTTATACAAACACTCTCAATGCAAGCCTTATATAATAAACATGTAACCAGATCTCCCAATGTGTAAAATCATTTCAGGTAGAACAGAATTAAAGGGAAAAGCCAAGTCTTTGCAATTAACAGACAAAGATCAAATAACAGTCCTCATGGCCTTAAGAATTTACCTAACTTTTTTTTAGAATCAATTTTCTTATATATGAATTGGAAACATAATTCCTACCTCACAAACACATTCTAAGATTTTAAGGAGATGTTGATGAAGTACATCATCTGTAATTTTTAACAGGTAGTGGTAGTGATTTACATAGCACACTGTGATCTGTTCTTGTACGTTCTTTTCCATTCTGTATTCTTGACCTGGTTGTATTCTTTCTAAGCTCCAGATACATATATCTAAGTATATCCTTTTGCATTTTACAAGAGTGCATAAAATACAGTGTATCCGAGACTGAATTTCTGATCTTATCATACCACTAAACTCACAAATGTGGTCCTATTCTTGTGTTCACGATCTCAGTGACTGACATCACCATCATGGTCTAAGTTTGATGATAGATATGGCATTGTCACTTCCTTCCCTCCTGCAACAGAAGCCCAGTTATTTGTCTCCCATTTTCTCTACTTCTAAAATACATTTCTTCACTAAGTGAGAATAATCTTTTAAACATACAAATCAAACCATGCCACCATCTTCCTTGAATTATTCAATATCTTCTCTTGGCTTCCAGATTACAGAAAAATAATTTGTAACAAAGTTTAAAGGTTATTCATGGCTCCTCTCTACCCTATTTTATAACATTTCCCCTTGTGATCAGAATCTCAGTTACATCGTCCATCTTTCTATATACAAATAAAATCATATAGTTAGAACTCACCTCTGGTTACTTTTAATCTAGCAAATGCTGCAAAATGCATTTGTGTTGCTACATGTTAAGCAGCAGTTGATTCTTTTCATTTCTGTCTAATATTCTATTCTTTAACTATACCATAATTTATCAGTTCTACTTTTGACAAACATTTAAGTGGCTACCAGTTTGATGTTTTTATGAATATTGCTGTCATAAGCATTTCTATACACATCTTTGGATATACACATGCATGTGTTTCTGAATATCTAAAAATGTAATTGCTATGTAATAGATTTATCATGTATCCAGCTTTGGTAGATACTATTAAATGTTTTCCAAAGGGGTTATACTATTGCACACTCTCACCAACAGAGTTTGAGAGTTTATATTGATCCATATTATTACCAAAATTTGAACTGTCCATCTTATCTCTTCTCTTGTCTCTTTTTTCCTCTTTTTTCCCTTCCCTTCCTCTCTCTCTTTTCTTTTCTCTCCTCTTCTCTTCTTTCCTCTCTTCCCTTCCCTTTCTCTTTCTCTTCCCTATCCCTTCTCCTCTCTTCTCCCCTCCTTTTTTCTCCTCTCCTCTCCATTATTTGTTTTTTCTTCTTCTCCTCTATCCATTCCATCCTCTCTCTTCCCCTCTTCCTTCCTTCCTTTCACTAGGAAAGGATTGACCTCCTTTCTTTCCCTCAATCCTTCTTTTGGATATGCTCATAGGTGTGTATTTGTCTGCCACTGTGGCATTATTTGAATTCAGAAAAGAGTGAAAAACTACTGAGCTCTTCATTCCTGGGTCTAATTCCACATTTTTTTTAAGAACACAGTTGTAAAATGTTCTGTACTAGCATTTTCCCGGGAACTTCATTAAATTAAATCTGGCTGAATATGGTAAATCTACTTGGCACTTTCTCTGCATTCTTTCTATAGTCATACCATAATTTTAAACAATCATAATATTTGTATATAATATTTGATTTTATCTGTCATTAAAATGTTACCCTTAAAATTCATGTTTCCGGAACCTATTTCAATAACTGGTAAATAACCACCATTCATTTTTTAAATATTCTTTTAATGGACATTTATTTCAATATAATAAAAAATAAGAGTTTTATTATAGGAAGAATTTACCAAAAGAAGGAAGAAGCAAGCAAGTTTAAACGGCAGTAATAGATTTGTCCATTCCAATCTCTTTAAATTCCCTTGGAGACAAAAATCCCTAGAGACAAAGGAGAACGTTATATTGAGTCAACTTGTTAAAACATCTGCTTCTAGACACGTTTTCTTAGTATAAAGTGACAGAAACAAATAAATTAAACTCTAAGATACATTCCACTATATTAGACTAAAACACTTCTGCATAAATGAAACTAGGAGGATATTTTTAGAAACAACTGCTAAAGAGATGTGCTGGAGAGATATGTAGAGGAGAACAGGATTTCTGAGTCAAGACACACATGACAGAACAGCCAATCTCAGGGCAAGGTAAGGGAACAGTGGAATGAAGGCTCATTTTTCATTCTCACAAACCAATGAAACCCTGCTTATCTTAAACCAACCTGCTCACTGGAGTAGGGAGGACAGGACCAGCATAAAAGGGAGGGCAGAGTCAACTGTTGCTTATACTTGCTTCTGACATAACCGTGTTCACTAGCAACCTCAAACAGACACTATGGTGCATCTGACTCCTGAGGAGAAGACTGTTGTCAGTGCCCTGTGGGGCAAAGTGAATGTGGATGCAGTTGGTGGTGAGGCCCTGGGCAGGTTGGTATCAAGGTTACGAGACATGGAAGCTGAGCATGTGTAGACAGGGAAGACTCCTGGGTTTCTGATAGGCACTGACTCTCTCTGTCCCTTGGGCTGTTTTCCTACCCTCAGGTTACTGGTAGTCCACCCTTGGACCCAGAGATTCTTTGAGTCTTTTGGGGATCTGTCCTCTCCTGCTGCTGTTAATGGGCAACCCTAAGGTGAAGGCTCATGGCAAGAAGGTGCTAGGCGTCTTTAGTGATGGCCTGGCTCACTTGGACAACCTCAAGGGCACTTTTTCCCAGCTGAGTGAGCTGCACTGTGACAAGCTGCACGTGGATCCTGGGAACTTCAGGGTGAGTCCAGGAGATGCTCCACTTTTCTCTTTTTACTTTCTAACCTTACATTTTGGTTCTTTTACCTAGCTGCTCTTCCCCCACGTTTTTGTCTATTTTACTATATTTTATCATTTAATGCTTCTAAAATTTCGTTAATTTTTTATTTCAATATTCTGCATTTTTTCCTTCCTCACAATCTTGCTATTTTAAAAATTAAATTATTTAATATCCTCTCTTTCTCTCTCAACCCCCTCCCTTCATTTTTCCTTCTCTAACCACAACTCAAATTATGCACGCCAACTCTCATCTGCTAATTCTGCACTTAGAATAATCCTTTTGTCTCTCCACATGGGTATGGGAGAGGCTCCAACTCAAAGAGGAGAGGCATAGAATGCTGTTTTAGAGGCTATAAGTCATTTTACAATAAGGAATAATTGGAATTTTATAAATTCTGTAGTAAATAGGATGGAAAGGAAAGTGAATATTTGATTATGAAAGATTAGAAAGTTACACTGGGGGTGGGGCAGAATCATTATTAGGAGACAGCCCATCATCACACTGATTAATCAATTAATTTGTATCTATTAATCTGTTTATAGTAATTAATTTGTATATGCTATATACACATACAAAATTAAAACTAATTTGGAATTAATTTGTATATAGCATTATACAGCATATATAGCATATATGTACATATATAGACTATATGATTGTTAAGTACATAGAGAGTGTGTATAGTATAGATATATGTTATATGTATGCATTCATATATGTACTTATTTATGCTGATGAGAATAACCTGGGGATCAGTTTTGTCTAAGATTTGGGCAGAAAAAAATGGGTGTTGGCCCAGTTTCTCAGAAGCCAATCTTCTGTTAGCCAAATTTCTCTGTTAACCATATGCGTGTATCTGCCTACCTTTTCTCCGCAGCTCCTGGGCAACGTGCTTGTGTGTGTGCTGGCCCACAACTTTGACAAGGAATTCACCCTACAGGTGCAGGCTGCCTATCAGAAGGTGGTGGCTGGTGTGGCTAATGCCCTGGCTCACAAGTACCATTGAGGTCCTGGACTGTTTCCTGATAATCATAAGTAGACCCTATTTCCCTAGATTCTATTTTCTGAACTTGGGAACACAACGTCTACTTCAAGGGTATGGCTTCACCTAATAAAGAACGTTCAGTTCAACTTCCTGATTAATTGCACTTATTTCATTTTCTTGCCCAGGTATGTAAGAAGGTTTCTGAGGGTCTACAGATAGAGAGCACTTGCGTATTTTACAAAGAGGACATGGGAAATGAGAAAGGCAAGGGAACCGTACAAAGCATTAATGGATGACATTTCTACCTCCAAAGAAAAGAAATTATCAAGAACTCTTCATATAGAGATGATACTGGCACTGCAGAGGCTCTAGGGAAGACCTCAACCCTAAGACATAGCCTCAAGGTTAATCATATGATTAAACTCCAACAATTACTGAGAAAATAATGTGCTCAGTTAAAGGCATAATGTTTGCTCAAGACAGTGTTATGCTCTCTTTCTTCCTACTTCCTTTGCCTGCATGTGTTAGCCCATAATACTATACCCCATCAAGTGTTCCTGCTCCAAGAAATAGCCTCCTCCTCTTACTTGCCCCAGAACATCTCTGTGAACAATTTCCTCTGATCTTCCCATATTTCGGTTAAGATTCATTGCTCACGTATTACTTGTGAACTCAGCCTTAATAAACTTTTCGATACTACCCAAAAAATCTTTCCAAACCCTCCCCCACACCATTTTTTATATTTTTCTTATTTATTTATGCACACACACACTCCATGCTTTATAAACAATTCTGCCTATTCTTCACCTTCTTACATGCCTACTGTGCCTTGTATTAAATTCATCTATAGGCAGCAAGAAAATATTTATTCAAGAAAATGAATGAATGAATGAATGAGTAAATGAGTAAATGAAGAAATGATTATTCCTTGCTTTAGAAGTTCTGGAACTAGAGGACAATATGAATCATACCATTGCACAGTGTTTCTTTGTCGTTAATGCTACAACAAACAAAGAAGAAGCATGCAGTAAACAACCAAACAGTCATTTCCTTTCTGATCATAGGTAGTAATTTTTTTTCTTTGAGAACCATTTTTGCCATAGGTAAAATTAGAAGGACTTTTAGAACTTTCTCACTCGTATACATTTTTATAAATCTGTATTATATGCCTGTTGATTAATTGTAAACTTACTTGAATACCTAAACAGAATCTGTTGTTTCCTTGTGTTTAAAAGTGCTTTCATAGTAACTCTGTCTGTACTGCCGGAATATATTGACAATGCATTATAGTTAACTGTTTTGATCACAATATTTTGAATTGACTGGCAGCAGAAGCTCTTTAATATCCATGTGTTTTCCTTAAGGCATTATACATAGTAGGCACTGAGGACTCTTTATATCTGAAGAGGATATTTAGGAACCACTGGTTTACATATCAGAAGCAGAGCTACTCAGGGCATTTTGGGGAAGATCACTTTCACATTCCTGAGCATAGGGAAGTTCTTATAAGAGTAAGATATTAAAAGGAGATACTTGTGTGTTATTCAAAAGACAGTAAGAGAGACTGTAGACCTTATGATCTTGATAGGGAAAAACAAACTACTTTCCTTTCTCCAAAAGTCAAAACAAGAGCAAATATATCTTACTATACCTTCTTCTATTCCTACACCATTAGTAAATCTAGGCAAGACGTTGGCCTTAAAAATCCCAATACCGGAGAATTCATGAGAACATCACCTGGATGGGACATTGCCGAGCACATACAATTACTATAGGCCAGTCATTGCTATCTTCACATTGAGGATAAGGAGGTCAAGAGATGAAAAACGACTTGGCACCTTGTTATTATATTAAAATTATTTGTTAGAGTAGAGCTTTTGTAAGAGTCTAGGAGTGTGGGAGCTAAATGATGATACACATGAACACAAAGAAGAGATCAACAGACATGCAGGTCTACTTGAGGGTTAAGGGTGGGAAGAGGGAGAGGATGAAAAAAGTACCTATTGGGTACTAAGTTTATTAGCTGAGTGATGAAATAATCTGTACATCAAAACCCAGTGACATGCAATTTACCTATATAAGTTGTACATGTACCCCCAAATTTAAAATAAAAGTGAAAACAAATATAGGAGTGGAATTAATTCCTCAAGATTTGGCTTAAATTTTATTTGATAATTTATCAAAAAGTTGTTTTCCTTTTCTCACCATGGCATTGCTTTATAAACCATGCTCAATGTGTCTGAATGAAAGGGTGCATGTGTGTGTGTGTGTGTGTGTGAGAAAGAGAGGGAGGGAAGAACGGAGGAGAGGACACAATAATGTGAATTTGAGTTTACAAACATTTTTAAATAAAATAATCTAATGTCAGGATAATTTAGCATAATAATCTCTTAAATCATCCATCTCTTGAGCTTCAGAGCAGTCTTCTAAATTAATGCCTACATGTTTGTAAAGGGTGTTCAGACTGAAGCCAAGATTCTACCTCTAAAGAGATGCAGTCTCAAATTTAACTGAAGACTGTACCTCTGCTCTCCATAAATTGACACACCATGGCTCACTTAATGAGGTTTAAAAAAAAGCTAATTCTGAATGAAAATCTGAACCCAGTAGAGGAAATATTGATGAACAAGGTGTAGACTGAAATATAAATTTCTCTGTAATAATTATGTATATACTTTAGCAAAGTTGTGTCTATGTCGACTTCATTGCTTTTTGGTAAGAAATACAACTTTTTAAAGACGACTAAACTATCCTATTTCCAAACTATTTTGTGTGTATGCAATTTGTTTCTATGGGTTCTGGTTTTCTTGGGGCATTTTTAGTTCATTTTAATTAATTAATTCTGAGAAGATGCTGAATTGTGTTTACTGAGAGACTGTGTATCTGGGAGAGAAGTCAGCAGCAAGTAGCTAGACTGTGCTTGACCTAGGAACATATACAGTAGATTGCTAAAATGTTTCACTTGGGGAATTTTAGGTTAAACAGCAGAGCATGTATAAAAATACTCTAGTTGAGTGCTGCTTTTGAAACAAATGACAAAACCACACTCCCATAGATGAGTGTCATGATTTTCATGGAGGAAGTTAATATTCATCCTCTAAGTATACTCAGACTAGGCCCGTTCTGGTATAAAATATTAGGACTTAAGAAAGATTAATAGACTGGAGTAAAGGAAATGGACCACTGTTTCTCTCGCTGTCTCTTTTTTGAGGACTTGTGTGTGTGTGTGTGTGTGTGCGCGCGCGCATAGTGGTAAGTGGGGCTGGAATAAAAGTAGAATAGACCTGCACCTGCTGTGGCATCCATTCACAGAGTAGAAGCAAGCTCACAATTGTGAAGATGTCAGTGAGCTTGAGTAGTTTTTCAGGAACTTTGAATGCTGATTTAGATTTGAAACTGAGGCTCTGACCATAACCAAATTTGCACTATTTATCACTTCTTGAAACTTATTTTTGTCTGGTATGCCTGGGCTTTTGATGGTCTTAGTATAGCTTGCAGCCTTGTCCCTGCAGGATTATGGGTCATAGAAAGAAAAGTCTGCATCACACTCTAGTCACACTAAGTAACTACCATTGGAAAAGCAACCCTTGCCTTGAAGCCAGGATGATGGTATCTGCAGCAGTTGCCAACACAAGAGAAGGATCCATAGTTCATCATTTAAGCAAGAAAACAAAATAGAAAAACTTAGGAAAACTATTTCTGAGCATAAGAAGTTGTAGGGTAAGTCTTTAAGAAGGTGATAATTTCTGCCAATCAGGATTTCAAAGCTGTTGCTTTGACAAGTTTGGTCTTTCAGAATAATATAAATACAATCTATATGATAATTTCATAAGGTCTGTGGATTTTCTTTGACCTGGGATATTTGCAAAAGACATATTTCAACTTCCACAGAACACTTTATTTCACATATACACGCCTCTTATGTCAGGGATGTGAAATAGAGTCTTGAAAACAGTCTGAATCTAAAACAATGCTAATGCTAATGCAGGTTTAAATTTAATAAGATAAAATCCAAAATCTAAGAGTCAAGTCAAATCTATATATTTTAACGTTTAAAATATTTTAAAGACCTCTTTTCCCAGGATTCAACATGTGAAATCTTTTCTCAGGGATACACGTTGCTAGATCCTCATTGCTTTAGTTTTTTACAGAGGAATGAATATAAAAAGAAAATACTTGAACTTTATCTCTCTTACCTCTATAATCATACATAGGCATAATTTTTTAACTTAGGCTCCAGATAGCCATAGAAGAACCAAATGCTTTCTGCATGTGTGAGAATAATCAGAGAGAGATTTCTTCACAAGTACCTGATGAAGGTTGAGACAGGTAGAAAAAGTGAGAGATCTCTATTTAGCAATAACGGAGAAAGTATTTAAGAGAATCAAGCAATGGAAATAAGAAATTTGTAAATTTCCTTCCAATAACTAGAAATAGAGGATCGAGTTTCTTTTGGTTAACCTAAATTTTATTTTATTTTATATTATCTTATTTTATTTTATTTTGTGTAATTGTAGCTTCAGAGTGTTAAAGCTGAAAGGAAGAAGTAGGAGAAACATGGAAAGTAAAAGTGTAACACTTTCCTTACTAAAAGGACATGGGCTTCCAGGTAGGGGCAGGATTCAGAATGACTGACAGAGCCCTCAGGGAACAAGGAGACTCCACACTGACCTCATAAATGCTTGCTACCTTTGCTGTTTTCTTTACATCTTTTAACAGCAGGAAGCAGAACTCTGCACTTCAAAAGTTTTTCCTCACCTGAGGAGTTAATTTAGTACAAGCGGGAAAAGGTGCAGGGGGATGGGAGAAAGGAGATCATGTTGGAAAGCTATAGAGATAGAAGAGTAAATTTTAGTAAAGGAGGTTTAAACAAATAAAACATAAAGAGAAATAGGAACTTGAATCAAGGAAATGATTTTAAAACTCAGTGTTCTTAGCGGACTAGAGGAAGAACTAATCTGAGCCAAGTCTGGAAGACCTTTTCCCTTCCTACCAGTACTTTTTAAGTCACAGAAGCTTCTTTGTTCCCCGAGACACTTTTGCAGATTAGTCCAAGCAGAAACAGTTAGATGTCCCCAGTTAACCTCCTATTTGACATCACTGATTACCCCATTGTTAGTCACACTTTGGGTTATAAGTGACTTTTTCTTTATTTGTATTTTTTACTGCATTAAGGGGTCTCTAATTTTTTTATCTCTCATTTCCCAAAACCTAATAAGTAATTATTGCACAGAACACATTGATTTGTATTTATTCTATTTTTAGACACAATTTATTAGCATACATGAGCAAATTAAGAAAAACAAAACAACAACAAATGAATGAATGCACATATATGTATATATTTTCTTTTCTTACCAGAAGGTTTTAATCCAAATCAGGAGAAGATATGCTTAGAACTGAGATAGAGTTTTCATCCATTCTGTCCTGTAAGTATTTTGCGTATTCTGGAGACACAGGAAGAGATCAATCTATATATCCCTAAGCTGAATTATGGTAGGCAAAATTCTTCCACTTTTAGTGCATCAATTTCTTATTTGTGTAATAAGAAAATTGGGAAAGCGATCTTCAATATGCTTACCAAGTTGTGATTCCAAATATTAGGTAAATACATTTACAAAGGAGGATGTTTTTAGTAGCAATTTGTACTGATGGTATGGGGCCAAGAGATATGTCTTAGAGGGAGGGCTGAGGGTTTGAAGTCCAACTCCTAAGCCAGTGCCAGAAGAGCCAAGGACAGGTATGGCTGTCATCACTTAGACCTCACCCTGTGGAGCCACACCCTACAGTTGGCCAATCTACTCCCAGGAGCAGGGAGGGCAGGAGCCAGGGCTGGGCATAAAAGTCAGGGCAGAGCCATCTGTTGCTTACACTTGCTTCTGACACAACTGTGTTCACGAGCAACCTCAAACAGACACCATGGTGCATCTGACTCCTGAGGAGAAGACTGCCGTTACCACCCTGTGGGGCAAGGTGAACGTGGATGAAGTTGGTGGTGAGGCCCTGGGCAGGTTGGTATCAAGGTTACAAGACATGCTTAAGGAGGCAAATAGAAGTTGGGCATGTGGAGATAGAGAAGACTCTTGGGCTTCTGATAGGCACTGACTCTCTCTGCCTATTGGGCTATTTTCCCACCCTTAGGCTGCTGGTGGTCTACCCTTGGACCCAGAGGTTCTTTGATTCCTTTGGGGATCTGTCCTCTCCTGATGCTGTTATGGGCAACCCTAAGGTGAAGGCTCATGGCAAGAAAGTGCTTGGTGCCTTTAGTGATGGCCTGAATCACCTGGACAACCTCAAGGGCACCTTTGCCCAACTCAGTGAGCTGCACTGTGACAAGCTGCATGTGGATCCTGAGAACTTCAAGGTGAGTCTATGGGACCCTTGATGTTTTCTTTCCTCTTCTTTTCTATGATTAACTTCATGTCATAGGAAGAGGATAAGTATCAGGGTACAGTTTAGAATGGGGAAGAGACAAATGATTGAATCAGTGTGGAACTCTCAGGATCATTTAGTGTCTTTTATTTGCTGTTTATAACAATTGTTTTCTTTTGTGTTTAATTCCTGCTTTCTTTTTTTTCTTCTCCGCATTTTTTATTATTATACTTAATGTCTTAATGCTGTGTATAACAAAAGGAAATATCTTTGAGATACATTAAGTAACTTAAAAAAAACAGCTTACACGGTCTGCCTAGTACACTACTATTTGGAATATATGTGTGGTTATTTGCATATTCATAATCTACCTACTTTATTTTCTTTCTTTTTAATTAATACATAATCATTATACATATTTATTGGTTAAAGCATAATGTTTTAATATGTATACACATTGCATATTGACCAAATCAGGGTAATTTTGCTTTTGTAATTTTTTAAAATGCTTCTTGTTTTAATATACTTTTTTGTTTATTTTATTTCTAATACTTCCCCTAATCTCTTTCTTTCAAGGCAATAACCATACAATGTATCATGCTTCTTTGCACCATTCTAAAGAATAACAGTGATAATTTCTGGGTTAAGGCAATAGCAATATTTCTGCATTTAAGTAGAATATTTCTGCATATAAATTGTAACTGATGTAAGAGGTTTCATATTGCTAATAGCAGCTGTAATCCAGTGATCATTTTGCTTTTATTTTATGGTTGAGATAAGGCTGGATTATTCTGAGTCCAAGCTGGGCCCTTTTGCTAATCATGTTCATATCTCTTGTCTCCCTCCCACAGCTCCTGGGCAACGTGCTGGTGTGTGTGCTGGCCCATCACTTTGGCAAAGAATTCACCCCGCAAGTGCAGGCTGCCTATCAGAAAGTGGTGGCTGGTGTGGCTAATGCCCTGGCCCACAAGTACCACTAAGCTCACTTTCTTGCTGTCCAATTTCTACCAAAGGTTCCTTTGTTCCCAAAGTCCAACTACTGAACTGGGGGATATTATGAAGGGCCTTGAGGATCTGGATTCTGCCTAATAAAAAACATTTATTTTCATTGCAATGGTGTATTTAAATTATTTCTGAATATTTTACCTAAAAGTGCATGTGGGAGGTCAGTGCATTTAAAACATAAAGAAATGAAGAGCTAGTTCAAACCTTGGGAAAATACACTATATTATGAACTCCATGAAAGAAGGTGATGCTGCAAACAACTAATGCACGTTGGCAACAGCCCCGATGCCTATGCCTTATTTACCCCTCAGAAAAGGATTCAAGTGGAGGTTTGACTTGGAGGTTAAAGTTTTGCTATGTTATATTTTACATTACTTATTGTTTTAGCTGTCTTCATGAATGTCTTTTCACTATTCATTTGCTTATCCTGCACCTCTCAGCCTTGATTCCACTTAGTTCTCTTGCTTAGAGATATTACTTTTCCCTTAAAGTGTTCCTCCCATGTTTTATGGCCAGATGGTTTCTTCTCACCTGGCCACTTAGCCTTAGTTGTCTCTGTTGTGTTATAGAGGTCTACTTGAAGAAGGAAAAACAGGGGGCCATGGTTTGACTGTCCTGTGAGCCCTTCTTCCCTGCCTCCCCTACTAACAGTGCTCCGGAATCTGCAATGCTAGTCTCCTGGAACTTTCACTCTTTCACAGTCTGCTTTGGAAGGACTGCGCTTAGAGTGAAAATGTAGGACTGAGAAGAATGTGAAAGGGGGCTTTTTGTAGCTTGGTATTCACTGTTGCCTTATTACCCTGTCATAGGCTCACGCCAAATGGAAGTCCCATTCTTCCTCAGGATGTTTAAGATTGGTAAGTGATTAGAGGTCTGCTCGCTCCCTTATCGTGCCCCTTATGGTGCTTCTGGCTCTGCAGTTACTAGCACAGTGTTACCATCAACAACCTTAACTTCATTTTCTTATTCAATGCCTAGGTAGGTAGATGCTAGATTCTGGAAATAAAATATGAGTCTCAGGTGGTCCTTGTCCTCTCTCCTAGTCGAATTCTGAATCTAGTTGACAAGATTCTGAAATCAAGGTGTATAATCAGTAATACGTGATGATAGAAGGGTATATAGAAGAATTTTATGATATGAGAGGGTGAAACCCTCAAAATGAAATGAAATCAGACCTTGTCTTACACCATAAAAACAAATTTCAAAATGGGTTAAAGATTTCAACTAAGACTTAAAACCATAAAAAATTTTAAAGAAGTCATAAGAAGAAAATTGTAATGTTCATGTTGCCGTCATTTTTTGAATTTCATATGAGAAGCAAAGGCAACAAAAGGAAAAATAAAGAAGCAAGGCTACATCAAACTAAAAAAATTTCCACACAAAAAAGAAAACAATCAACAAGTGAAAGGTGACCTATGAAATGACATATTTGCAAATCAAATATTTATTATATATTTTGGTTAATATTCAAAACATATAAGAAACTCGTATGATTCCATAGCAAACAAAAAATTAAAAAATGGGAAAAGAAAAAAATTAAAAAGAAAGAAATCCTGCCATTTATGGCAGAATTGATGGACCTGGAGGATGTAACACTAAGGAAAATAAGACAAAAAGACAAATACTGCACAATCTTGCTCATATGTGAAATCTAAAAAAGCGAAACTCATGGAAACAGAGAGTAGAGGTGTAGTTTCCAGGGGTTGGGAGTGGGAGAATCAGGAAACTATTATTCAAGGGGTATAAAATTTCAGTTATGTGGGATGAATAAATTCTAGATATCCAATGTACAGCATCATGACTGTAGTTACTTGTACTGTGTGTATATTTAAAATTTGCTAAGAGAGTAGTTTTTTTTTTTTTTTTTTTTTTTTTTTGAGATGGAGTTTTGCTCTTGTTGTCCAGGCTGGAGTGCAATGGCAAGATCTTGGCTCACTGCAACCTCCGCCTCCCGGGTTCAAGCAAATCTCCTGCCTCAGCCTCCCGAGTAGCTGGGATTACAGGCATGCGACACCAAACCCAGCTAATTTTGTATTTTTAGTAGAGACGGGGTTTCTCCATGTGGGTCAGCCTGGTCTGCCTGCCTTGGCCACCCAAAGTGCTGGGATTATAGGCATGAGCTACTGGGCATGATTGAGAGTAGATCTTAAAAGTGCTTACCACGAGAAAAAGGTAACTATGTGAGATAATGGGTAAGTTAATTAACTTGATTGTGGTAATCATTTCACAAGGTGTACATATATTAAAACATCATGTTGTACACCTTAAATATATATAATTTTTATTTGTGAATCATGCCTCAATAAAGTTGAAGAATAATAAAAAGGGACAAAATATATATCACATGAATAAAAAAACTAAAAATAAAAAATTGCATCTCGATGATTACAATTGCATTCTTGATTTTTCAGACACAAATATCCATTTGACTTTTTACTCTTTTCCAAAACAGTACAATAAATTTTAGCACTTTATCTTCATTTTCCCCTTCCCAATCTATAATTATATATATATTTTTTAGATATTTTGTATAGTTTTACTCCTAAGATTTCTTCTTATTATTAAATAGTGAAGAAATGTTTACACTTATTTACAAAACGTTTTACATGCTTTTCTTAATTTCTAATCTTCCCTCTAAGTTTATTCTATTTTTTTCTGAGTATCCTTAATATTATCTCTTTTTGCTGGAAATACCTTGTTACTTTTGGTTTATCTAAAAATGGTTTCATTTTCTTTATTCTAAAAGCATATAAAATTAATATCACTCATGTGTAAGTCAGATAGTGGAATAAATAGAAATCCAAAAACTAAATCTCACTAAAATATAATAATCTGATATATAAAAATATAGCTTTTAAATTTAGCTTGGAAATAAAAAACAAATAGTAATTGAACAACTACACTCTTTGGAAAGAGTAAAGTGAAAAGCTTAACTGTATACACCACAATCGATTACACAATTAGGTGTGAAAGTAAAATCCAGTCATGAAAATCTAGAATAATAATATGGGAAGACATGTATACAATCTTAGAGATAAGAGTGGTTTTTAATTATCAACCCAAAGTAGAAGCTATCAAGAGAGAAATAAATTCAGTCAACAATAAAAGCAATTTAAGAAGTTATTCTAGGCTGGGAGTGATGGCTCACTCCTGTAATCCCAGCACTTTGGGAGGCCTAGACCAGTGGATCACGAGGTCAGGAGTTCGAGATCAACCTGGCCAACATAGTGAAACCTCATTTCTACTAAAACTATAAAAAATTAGCCTGGCGTGGTGGCGGGCGCATGTAATCCCAGCAACTTGGGAAGCTGAGGTAGGAGAATCACTTGATGCTGGGAGGCAGAGGTTGCAGTGAGCCGATATTGTGACACTGCATTCCAGCCCAGGCGACAGTGTGAGACTCCATCACACAAAAAAAATAATAATAAGTTTTTCTATTAAAACTGATCTTACAGATCCATAGAGCCATTATCAAGTCTTTCTCTTTGAAATAGACAGAAATTTAGTGTTTTCTCAGTCAATCAACATTCCTTCAACTAGATTAGCTGTGACAAAATTTCAGGCCTTGCTTAACTCTAACCTCAGTCTCCCCATATATTTCTGAGAGTTTTCTTTCTTATTTGTTTATAAGGATTTCGTAAATGGCAATATTGAGAAGTAGAAAATTTCGGAGACTTATTTTTCATGAACCAGAACAATCTCAAAGCAGCAATGCTAAACAGGAGCCAAGCCTAGAATAAAGTTGAACTTCTGGAATCAACAAGCTAGGGAAAAGTCTCCCATTAAATCAAGTATTTGAAAACTGGGAGGTCAAATCAGAGGTGAAAAATGATTAAAGATAACAAGAGGTCTGAAAAACAAATTGACCAATTAAAATTAAAATAAAGGGGCAAGCTGGGCACAGTGGCTTGCATCTGTAGTCCCAGTAACCCAGGAGGCTGAAGTAAGAGGATCACTTGAGCCCAGGATTTCAAGGCTGCAATGAGCAATAATGACACCCCTGCTCTGTAGGCTTGGTGACTGAGTGAGATCCTGTCTCTGAGGAAAACAAAAAACAAAAACAAACAAAAAAAACCCCACACAGATATTAAGAACATAGAAGTTTTGCTGCTGTGATGATATACTCCAACAGAGGTCTGAACTGCTTGCAGTGACTAGGGGCTGTTTCTCCTCTGGATTCTTGGGTTCTTCACATCTTCTCAACTTTGTGAAAAGATATTCATCCAAAGGTCTTACCTGTCTTTTTCAGACCTTGGATTTTGGATTAGCTTTTTCTATTTCTTGGGATTCTCTAGATCTATATATTCAGATATAACACAGATACAACCAAAAGAAGCAAAGGAGGCATGACAGAAGGGGCTTTGTATTCTGGGGAGGGGGACATAGAGTTGAGAGAAATACAAGAATTTATAGGACTCCACTCAAAGAGCCCTCAAATAAAGTATGACTAGTCTTCTTTGCCTAAGACAATGAGCAGTCCAGGAAGTTATCCATTTCTTTTAGATTTTCTAGTTCATGTGCATAGAGGTGTTCATAGTAGTTTTTGATGACTATTTGTATTTCTGTGGGGTGAGTGATAATACCCCTTTTTCGTTTCTAACTGCTTATTTGGATCTTGTCTCTTGTCTTCTTTATTAGTCTAGCTAGTGGTCTACCTTATTAATTTTCTCACAAAACCAGTTCTTGGACTCATTAACTTTTTTTTTTTTTTTTTTTTTTTTTGGAGACAGAGTCTCACTCTGTCACCCAGGCTGGCGTGCACTGGCGTGATCTCGACTCACTGCAAGCTCTGCTTCCCAGGTTCACACCATTCTCCTCCCTCAGCCTCCCAAGTAGCTGGGATAACAGGCGCCCACCACCATGCTTGGCTATTTTTTTGTATTTTAGTAGAGACGGGATTTCACCGTATCAGCCAGGATGGTCTCGATCTCCTGACTTTTGTGATCCACCCGCCTCGGCCTCCCAAAGTGCTGGGATGACAGGTGTGAGTCACCGTGCCCAGTTGTACTCATTAATCTTTCGAATGGTATTTTGTGTTTTAATATCCTTCAGTTAGCTCTGATCTTGTTTATTTCTTGTCTTCTGCTAGATTTGGGGTTGGTTTGCTCT